TGACAGCATAACACAAAACAATATGCAACCAACCCAATGTAATACAATACTAGTTTCAACGCCTGTGCATACCACACTGTTGACGAATCTCTCAGGCGTGTTAGAGCGATAATCACATCGCGACATGATTAACAAGCCTACAGCTCAGCAGATTTTAATAACTTACCTTATTAATAAGAAAAGCAAGATTTATGGATTTCAACTTCTTTATAACACGAAGTTTCGGAGCATATGCTTGCTCCTTCATCAGGTGAAAATCAGGTCACAGTAATGCATTCCACTTCTTAATGCCCATCAAAGATTTAACTCACTTCCAGGGGCTTCTTTAAGAGGCATAAAAAACTTGTTAATTAACAAGGCAGTAGGCCTTGTTCATTGGTGACTATTAACTGCCTTGATTCACTCATCAATCAACAAGGGATTAGGTCCCGGGGCGTGCAAATAACAATAATTTACCATCACCCACCAGTTATCTCCCCTTGTGGATATTTCCAAAATTGGAAATTTTTGGAAACATCATCTTTCCAAAATCGGAAATGTCTTGGAAACATCATCTTTCCAAAATTGGAAATGTCTTGGAAACATCATCTTTCCAAGACATTTCCAAGCTTGTAAACATGGACTTTTTTTCCAGTGTCAGTGTTCTGGAAGTTAGTGTTCCTGAACAAAGAGTTTTCAGAAATCATGAACTGCGGCAAAATAGATTGCGATTTGAATCTATTCTGGAAGCTCTTTACTTGGTTCACTACAAGTGAAAGTGCATGAACTGTGTAGTAATAACTGTTATGGGTGTGAAATAGATCACCGCTCCCAACGTCATCATCAGTGTCTCATGCTCAGTGGTGAAGAACTTGTCAGTATGTATTTTGATGAAGCAACATCGTCACTCCAAAAGCAAATTCAAAAAATGATAAATTTCAAGATATATATGAAGCTGCTGAAGTTGACATACAAGAATATTTCAGAGTTACAAAGCGTAACAAACGCAATAAAGATCATATACGAGTTTTATATTACAATGGCAACTCGTGCGACACACAGGAAGATATATGTAATCTGTTTGGTCTGTACTTTAACGACCTATCGCAACCATATCATGATGAATCATTTGATGTATCTTTTACTGAGCATGTAAATAATTTTGTTGGTGATATCTTGTCATCCCCAGAAGACTATCGTTATTTTCACAAAGATGTAAATCCACTATTACTGTGCCCCTTCAACAATGATGAACTGTCTCTATCTATTAAACGTTTAAAATGTGGTAAATCTCCTGGACCAGATGGCATCTTTAATGAACATGTTAAACGTGCGGGAAGATCGCTATTTCCCCATATCCTTACGTTGTATAACGCTATTGTTTCACATGAATATGTTCCTCAGATGTTTAATATTGGTAGCATTTTACCAGTACATAAAGGCCATGGTAAAAGTAAGGATAATCCCTCTAATTATAGAGGGATTACGCTTACTTCTGTCATTGGTAAATTATTTGAAAGGCTTCTGCTGTGTAGAATTGAAAAGTGGGCAAAAGAATACAAAGGCTTTCCACACCCCTTTCAATTTGGATTTAAGAAGGGAGCTGGTGCAGAGATTGCTGCGCTTGTGTTACGTGAAAGTATCTCGTACTATACGGAAAGAGACTCTACAGTGTATTGTACGTTTATGGACAACGAAAAGGCTTTTGATAGAGTTTGGCTTAATGGATTGTTTTATAAACTACATCATTTTGGAATAACCGGTCTTCTCTATATTATGTGTTCATCCATGCAATCTTACGTTAAGTGTAATGGCCACTCATCCCACATCTTCCATGTAAGACAGGGTGTTCGCCAGGGTCGTGTTTTATCACCCTGGATGTTTACGCTTTATATTAATGATTTGTTGCATGAACTCAATCACTCAAACTATGGACTCTGTCTCCCTTGGGGTAATACACCAGGTATTCTTCTAGCTGATGACACCACACTGCTTAGCTGTACTACTGAAGGGACGCAGTCTCTCTTGAACATTCTATATGATTATGCAAACAGGTGGCATCTCAAGTTCAATGCATGCAAAAGTGCAATTATTGTTTTTAACAGCATTTGCAACGGTGCTTTTCCAGACGTCTACATTGGCAGAAACAACATCCCTGTGAAAACAAGTGTTGTTTATGCCGGTGTGGCTGATCTGTACATCAAGATCATCCTCTGCTCGCACTCTCCAGGTATGTGAAAAACTGTGACTCATTGTAAATGTTAATCATAATCATGGCTTGTACTTTGGTGGTCTTAATCCCTTACATGCTGTACGCATTTGGCAAAATGTAATTCTACCATGTGCTTTGTATGGTTGTAATGTTTGGTGTGAGTTATCTCCCAAAGAATATGATATGCTGGAATTAGTACAAAAATATTTCTGCAAAAAGGTTCAAGGTCTATACAAACGATCCAGCTCAGTTATTGTTTGGGACTCATTTCTATGCAGCCATACATAGAGAAGCAAACCCTCATATTCCTCGGGAGATTAATACGTGCTGATATCAGTTTTATCTTTAAGAAAATGTTTTGTTTTAGATTTACACAGTTCATGTGTGATGACGCTCCTTCATTACGTCTAAAGTGTAAGACCTCACCCATCTTTCATATGTTGGCTTTGGTTAGAAAATATAGAATATATGACTTAAATATGTACCTGGAAACTTCTGTATCTCCCAGTAAACAACTATGGGCACATCAGGTTAAAACAGCTATTCATGAAGCAGACACCAAATGTATTATTTCAGAACTTTCTACAAGAGCAACGCTAGCACGGTATAACCTTACCTATGAAAATTGTCCGAGCAGGTTGTGGTGTCTTGCCTTAGAAAAGCATCTGTGCTTCTTTGATATTGCAGTTCTATTGCACATCGGTACTTACTTAATTCAATCTCATGAATGTCTCTGTGGTACGTTTGCCTTTGACATTGTTAAACATGTATTTCTTTATTGTAAAGAAACGCAGTATGAAAGAGACAGACTAACTGAAGATTTAATCGACATTCTTGATGTGGAAACGTTTAGTAACCTTTGGAATAATGATGACGATATATTACTCTGTTTTCTACTTTGGGGTCGCCCTACTCAGTGCACGAAGGACCTCGACTATGAAACATGGACAAGGTGCATAAGCCGAATATGCAGAACTATTAAGTTGTGGAAATGATATTTCTATGAATGTGTATAATTTCTGACATGTGTAAATACCATACACATAATACCATATGTGTATATCCATATAATACCATATTGATTTACTTGTTGTAATGTACTGGACTGGATCTCCATGACATGTACGTTTTGCGTTATGAGAATGAGCTCTACTTGAATGCCTTTTCTTAACTTCAAGTAGAAAGGAACAAATGGAAGAAAAGTTGAAAGTGAGAATGAAAGAACAATAACATGTGTTCAAGGTGAAATCAAACATGAATTTTCCTGATGATATTTTCATAATAAAAAAACAAAAACATAACATCTGTTTCGTGTTTTCTTTATCATTTCACTGCCACCCAAAGGACAGCACTGACATCTAGAACAAAATGCTGGGATTCAATATCCCTTTGCAAACCACTCTTGATCTTTGAACACAGTTGAGGTAAACACCAATACCCCCATACAAACCACTGTGGATAGATGAACAAAAAAAAAAGATATTCACTTCATTACCGACATTGGGTGCATGTGAACTGCTATAATAGTGCTCATAGGATTCCATGTTCACAAGTGGAACACAATTCAATTTCATCATTTCTATTTATATGTGAATTATAAACAGGATGTCACCTACCCAATCAGTTTACTACATTCATTCAAAAATCAACCAATGAATTTAGAACTAATTCCAGACATGATTCATTTCATTTTTTAAAATAATACACAAGGACCTACACTTGCTTTCATTCGAGCGACTTATCACCAGGGACACAAGTTCATGTACAATCTTGTCACCATGTCAACGGAGAAAGCAGAAAGGTTGGTACTGTTTTATTCCTAAATACTCTCTCCATTCAGTCAACACTATCTTACACATGTCTTGAAACATATTTAATTGTGTCGAAGAATATTATTTGCATATGAGAGCTATAGCCTTCAGCCTTAATATAGGCAGTCTACATAGTTAAAAGAAAAGGGGAAATGTCTTATGGAAGTCAGAAATGTCACGACGACTGAACACAACTGTTCTGGTTTGTTTTTTTCTAACAGTAAGTCAGACGACAGGGCGACCTTCTACACTTGGAAGCAAGTGATGAGAGCGCCTCATTGTGTGAAAGAGTCCATCGTTTCACAGTCAAATGATTGGTTCCGAGACCGTCGTGCATGTGTGGAGGATGCCAAAAGAAAATTTCAGGATGAACACAAAGCTACCCAGCGAGTGATCATAAAAAAATCCAGAAAAGGGTCTATGTGTGCAGACGAAGTAGCCATGGCAAATCAACTAAAACATGCAGAGGGGCTTCTGACTTTGTGTTTCAGTTTCGAGATCAGTAAGATCGTGAGAAGATTTTCGTGGGAACTATGTTTCGGTTGTATGTTTGATGAAGAACACGTTCACACTTGTCGTGACCTGTCAGAACAGGAGCAAGTCGACAAATACTTCAATGCCGCCCTGACCGAGGTGAACGATGATCACGTGATTGACAGATGGATGAACTTGTTGACTGATGACTCATCCTTGAACGCACTCACTGCTTTCAGTTTGATTCCCTATCAGTGCAAGGATTATCGTGACTCACAGTTTAAAACCATGGAATGGGTTCATGATTTGAAATCGCGTGTGCTTAAGATGTTATTTTTGGAAAACAGATTTAAAACAGACAAATGTTGATACAAATGAATCTTCCTGTAAGTAAAAGACTTTCAAAATGATGTATGTCTTATGTGTAGCCAGAGAATGCTTAACAGTCAATAAACTACACACCTATAGTCTTTGCTGTTGTGTTACGTTGTGTTATTTATATATATTTACCCATTTCCCATGTTATGTCGCAGTACATCATGAGTTCTCAACAGCAGAACAAGACATCCTTAAAGAAGCACGAAAAAGCATTATCAGACTATTATTTTAATCCCACCAAACCAGGGGCATATTATGGACCCTCCAAACTGCGTGATGAGTTAAAAGCGAACAGACCACCTGATGTCAAGCTCAGGAAGGTGAAGCGGTTTGTCAAGAACCAAGATGCTTACAGTTTACACAAACCAGTGCGGCATAAATTCCAACGGATGAGAGTGAGGGTTAATGTTGTCAATGAGATGTTCGACTTGGACCTTGCCGATCTTTCACGCTACAGCAAAGAGAATGAAGGCGTACGGTATTTGCTTGTGGCTATTGACATATTGAGTAGGTTCGCATTTGTGTTTCCTCTGTCAAACAAAAAGCCTGAATCTGTTTTGACAGCTTTCAAACAAATCCTCAAGCAACAGCGTCCTAGGAAAGTACGAGTAGATGGTGGAAGCGAATTTAAAGGTGTATTCAAGTCGTTTTTACAAAAACAAAAGATAAAACTCACCATAGCTCGCAATGAAAACATAAAAAGTAATTACGTGGAACGTTTTAACAGAACACTGAAATCCCTGATCACACGGTACATGACCCATAATAACACCAAACGTTATCTGGATGCTCTACCAGATTTAGTGTACAACTACAATCATACCCTGCATTCGTCTTTACCCAAACTCTCTCCGGCACGTGTCGATAAAACCAACGAAGTGAAAGTGTGGAACCATATCTACCTGGAACCTTTGAGAAAAGTCATCAAACCTAAAATCAAGAAATACTTATTTAAAGTAGGTGATCTGGTTCGCATCTCATACCTCAGGAAACCTTTCAGCAAGGAACTCGACCTCAAGTGGATGGAGGAGCTGTTCAAAGTGGCTCGACGTTACAGGAAACAGGGGTTTCCTCAGTACAAACTTAAAGATTTTCACGATGAACCCTTGATTGGGTCCTTTTACACAAACGAGCTTCAAAAGGTCAGCAAAGCCGCAGATGTGCTCTGGCAAGTCGAGAAAGTGCTCAAAAGGAAAAAGGTCAAAGGAAAGAAGTACGCTCTAGTGCGCTGGGTCGGCTGGCCCAAGTCTTTCGACTCGTACGTGGAAGAACGCGAACTGAAAGAAGTGTAATTGCGTGAAAAAATAAATATGGAGAAGTACGTGTTTCTCAAAAGCTCCGACTCCAAAAAGACATCGTTTCCAGAGAATACGCCCTATCATTTTCGTGTCAAATTAAATCAAAGGTTAGTCTTCGACGGATTCTGAGTGGTGTCTTTAACAGAGCTGAACTTTGGAAAGGTGGATCTGACTAAGGTCACAAATTCATACGTAGACGTGTTGTGTAACCTGTGCGACAGTTCATTGGTGGGCGAAACTCAACTGGCTTTATTGAGACGCATCGATCTGAGACAGGGACCTACCTACACGTTTGGTACTGAATTTAACATTCACGTCAAATTGAAAGACACCGACAATATCGAATTGTATTTAAAGTCAGCAAATGCATCTACAGCTTCATTCTTAACAGAAGAGACTTACGCTACACTTCATTTAAGACGTTATCCTTTTGTGGAGTAAAAAACCATGGAGTCGCGTCCACTGTATTTCCCGGACTACGCCAAGTTTAAGCAGTATTTCGACAACAAACAGGTGAGGAAAACATCCCATCTGCTCCACGGGAAAGCAAAAAAGCTGGTGATCCCGGTTCGTCAAGCAGCAACACAACAACAACAACAACAGCAACGTGACCCGATCAAGGTTACTTTGCAAATGACGTCAGAATCCCAAAGCGAGGTAGAGAGAGTGGGAGCCAAGGACAAAAGACAGAAGGCTTTAAAACGCAAGGCGGGCGAAAGGTGCGTCACAACCAAGAAGATTCGTCAAACCGACAGCAACGTTGCACCTTCCAAGACGGCCAAAGTGCTCCAGTGTACTCCTGTGCAAGAAAACGATATCTTCAGTTAAAGACGTCCATATAGAAACATAGAGCCGACATGTCACTCATCAATGATAATGAGTTCGACGAGTTGTTGCCCGAGTGTCTAAATTTATTTTCGCTACCTCCTTATCGAACTAGCATACAGAAACATTATTTCGTGAATGTGCGACCTTTAAGCCAAATCAACGATGCTGCCCCATTGGAGTTTCAAGTTAGCAACTCAGGTCCAGACTACACCGACCTGACACGCACCCGTTTGCACGTCAAAGTCAAAGTAACGCAGACCGATGGCACGGCCTTGGCCAAGGACGAAAATGTCGCTCCGGTGAACTTGTTTATGCAGTCGCTGTTTTCCCAGGTCACGGTCTACCTGCAGAACCAGCTCGTGTCCAGTACCAACAACCATTACGCCTACAAGAGCATGATGAGGGCCCTGCTGGGATATGGTGCGGAAGCGAAAAACACTCAGTTGGGGACGCAGCTGTTTGCCAGGGATTATGCGGAGAGTGAGGTGGATCTGGAAAGCAGTGACGTCACCGGATCTGTCAATGGGGGAATGGCATTACGTGGCACTTTCATAGCGCTAAGCAAAGAACTTACCATGTCGGGGCCCGTGTACGAAGATATCTTCGACATGAACCGACTCCTCCCCAACGACGTTGACCTGACTTTGAAAATGTTCAGATCAGAACCCAAATTTTGTTTGATGAGCGACGTGACTGATCACGAATTCAAAGTTCAACTCTTGGACGCTTATCTGCAGGTGTGCAAGGTCAAAGTAAACCCCGCCTTGATCTTGGCTCACAACACACTTTTCAAAAAATCAAACGCTCTCTACCCGTACACCAAAAGCGAAGTCAAGGTGACCAGCATCCCGACCACTCAGCAGACGCACACCATAGACAACGTCAGCAATCCCGTCGCCAACCGATACGTTGTGGGACTTGTGGAAAGTTCGAGTCTAAACGGCAGCTACACCGGCAATCCCTATAATTTCAAGTCGTCCATGCTTAAAAAGATAACGCTGTACATCGACGGAGTCAGTGTGCCCGGTCAACCCGCTGAAGCGGACGATGTCGCCTCTTACGTCAACATGCTCGACGGCATGGGACTGTGGAAGGAAGACAAGGGCAATGCCATCACCAGAAGCGAATTTCTCATGGGGAATGCCTTGTTCGTCTTCGACATCGACACAATGTGCGCCGAGTCAGAGTACCTGAACTTGGTGAAATCGGGAAGCGTGAGGCTCGAACTGGAATTCAAGTCGGCGCTCACCAGCACGCTGAGTTGCGTCATCTTGACTCAGCGAAATTCCCTCATCGAAATCGATCAAGCCCGCAACGTGTTTGTCAAGTAACAGAATGAAAGCCTCTCAACTTATGTGCGCCATACAGTGTGATCCAAGTTTACAATCTCACGTCATGGGCATTTTCGCCAAAGATACTTTACCCACTATAACCCCTAGTTTGCATGCATAAAGGTGTAGGACTTATTGTTAATACAGATGTGAGAAAAAAGTAGGTCATCACTGGATTGGCATGTATTTCTAATGTATGTGGTTTGTTTACATTGTATTTTCTTTTATGTAAATTCAAAGCTGGCTTAGGCATGCATGATATTGTACGGCAGTTTGATACGAATGATCCTTTCATCAATGATGAATACGTATCTACGTTCATTTGTCACTATTTCAAATACTGTAAAGATTCGTGTTTACCATGTATGACTCAAACGTGTGCGAAATATTAGTGAATGTTGCTTTATGTTCCAAATGCTATTCATCATAAAGTACTGAATCCTGATTGTTATAATGTATATGTCCTAATATTGTAGTTGCTGAAAAATCAATAAAAAAATATTAAAAAATAGACTTGAAAGAAAATGCTTTTTGTTGTGAATGAAAAAACACTTAGTATAAAGTCCATGTGCACAGGTCACGATGAGTTCATTTGTCTCGGAACATTGGTACGGTACAGCAGCCATGGATCACTCTACCGATGCATCTACTGTTGCAGAAAACACTTGCTTATTACCGTTTCCAACACCTACGAGTATATCCGTCATAGGAGGAAGTTCTTCCGGCAAAACCCATCTGGTAAAATGGATGTTGGAACAGGCCGAGGACATGTTTGAACCAACGCCCAATTTGATCGTGTATTGCTATGCGGTGTGGCAAGATTTGTACAGTTACATGCAACATTCTGTTCCCAACATTCAGTTTCACGACACACTTCCCACGGAAGATGAACTGAGATCCTGGTCCGTTCAGTCGGAAAAACGTGTGTTGTTGGTTTTTGATGATTTAATGATGCAGATATGCAAGAATCAGCTGATGTTGCACTTGTATACCACGCTCTCTCATCACTTGGGCATCACGGTGATCAACATTCAACAATCGGCTTATCCCAAAGGCGAATGCAACAGAACCATGTCCTTAAACACCCATTATTTCGTGCTACTGTCTAATCCTAGGTCGGCTCACGAATACAAAATTTTGGCTTCTCAAATGTTTCCGGGACAATCCAAATACTTTAACGAATCCTTGAAAGACGCCTTAGGAGGGAAGAAATACAGCTATCTGCTCATCGATGCCTCGCCCTATATCGATGACCGCTACGGTCGCTTACGTACGGGGATATTTCCCGATGATGTTTGCACGGTGTACTTGCCACAGTAAAAAATATTAAGGACATCAAGGGAGGCGAGAACACGATTTTATTTTTTAAATGAATACTAATGAATTTATTTTAAACTGACAACCTTTATAAAACACTCAGTTCACTTCACTTCAGTCATTCTGCAGACAGCTCTGCTGAGAAATGGCAAAACAGCATCACCTAAAAGAAAGGACCGATATGATGCATATCATCGAAAAACACAGAAAGATGGATGAAACACAGAAAGAAACGGCTTCCCGGATATTGTTTATCGTGTCAGTGTGGGGGGATGATTACGCTGCCTTACAACTAATAGATCACTACGGTGCATGGACTGAAGTGCTCCAAGACTTACTGTGGAACAACAGACTGTGTCCCGAAGCATTTGATGACGGAGCATGGGGAGATGGACGGGTAAGCTACGAATGTTTCAGTAATGAAAACGACCGAGCTGCCGCTGATAACCTTTTCATGAAGCTATGTCTTTACACGATTATGACACTTCTAAAACCAGTACTTCTATAGCCGTTCATGGTGAAGATTTGTTGGCAAGCTCGCAAAACGACCAGCCTCACGATTGCAATCAGTGGAAACAAGACGAAGAGGAATTTTTTTGTGTGTGATAAATACTAACAAACAGAGATGTGTTTCTTCATTTCGGGTTGGATCGCCGACCACTACGCACACACCACCATGAGTCCAATACTGGAAGAACATTCGATTTTTCTTCATATGTTATTAGAGGTCAATGGGAAGCAAAGAAAGGCGTTCCTGGTACATGCATCACGCAGACAGTTTACAGCCATTATCTCTCTCATCTTTAACATTTTGAATGGAAACATTGCCTTGTCGGAAGACGATAAAATGCGATTGTCACGTCACAAAAAGTGCATTCGAACACTAGCCGCCAAGACAGTAAGTGCACGTCGCAAACGTGAGCTGATCATCTCGCATCAAGTGGTTTTACCGGTTTGCATAAAAGCCTACCTGACCTACGTTTCTCAGTTTGAAAATGGCGACACCCATGGTACTTTTGACAAGAGAAACCTACCAGCGGCTGACGACGAACCAAGAAAAGCAAAATTCTCCTCAGACAGTGAAACATCAGACACTGAATCATCATCATCAGACAGTGGATCAGAAATCACCGGGTCAATCTCCTCAACAGACAGCAGCGGGTGAAATTGATGTGACCCAGCATGACGAGATATTAAGAGTACCTGATTCTCTCATCAAGAACATTGGTTCTACCAAAACTGTGGGGAAATTGATGGCTTTGTGGTTATTTATTAAGCGCAAAATTGATTCCAAGGACTTGAGAGTGACTGATCAATTAGAACTTGTCAATCCGGATAATGGGACTGTCATACAAGGTTCGAACCTTGTGAAACTGATTCGTTTCGTGATTCGAGGCTCTTCTAAAAAACCAAGTGGTTATGCAGAGTTTCGCCGACTCCTGCGTAATTTGAACGTGCCCAGACATCTTGTTGTAAAATATCGTTCTCACAAACCCACAGAAACTAAGAGATTGTATGTGAAACGCAAATCTGTGCTTGGCATGCCTGGAAACTTAAAAAAAAAATTGGAATCTTTCTAACATCATGTATGCTTGTAAAATGTAATGTGTTTTTTGTCATACTGAATAAAGGAATAAAGGAGCATTATTTTCTCGATGTTTTCACTCAAGCAGCTGCATGTTTGAAAAAACACACACGTTTCATTACATCACGTCACGATTTCAACAAATAGGTTGTTATTGGAACCAAAATGTGTTTACATTTGTACTCAAAGACGCCCATTCGCACATGTGTTTCATGTCTTCAAAAACACAAAAAAACAACAACACGTGTTTCATATCCTCGTATCGCGTTGGAAAAGTATTGTTTCCCACTGCCTTAACACACTGCCTTACTTCTTTTTTTTTGTCCTTATCACAAGCACTGTGTAATTTGTGACACATACAAACGTGTCTACAAACATGTTTGCACTGACGCCTAACAGTAACAGCAACGGAAACGGAATAGCGCACATGATTGTATTGCTTTTTAGGCGTTTTTTTTTTGTTCATGTTATCCTTGTTCATGAAGTGAGCTGCTAAAGTTATCAGATAAGTGCAACCATGATTGCCTGACACGGCTAACGACATTTGAGCAATCGTCTGGCAATCTCGTCAACTCCTATTTTTTTTTTTAGGAATAGCATATCTTAAAACCGCCTAGATGTTTCCCAACTCGAGAACACCTGCAGAACACCAAAAAGGCTGAACTAAACTTTCAAAAGAGCGACGATGGTGGTCTGTGGTTTAGGGAGTGGAATGTGGGATTACATATGTGTAAATATGTGTACGTGGCGTTAAAAAAAAACAAAACAAGATTACATTCAGTGCTCAGGGGTGGGGTATAAAATGAAGGGACACGCACATAGTCAACACTTTTCTGACAGACGCCGTAAAATTGTTGAAAATGGGGATTGTTTTGATTTACAACGATTCCAAGACAGAATTTCAATTTGGCGTTGGGTCCATTTCCCACATGGATGTTTTGTTAGATCCCTCAACGTCGAATCAACTTCGACACATTTTGATCTATTTTTTAAATGAGATTGAGTTGTACAGCAGCCGGACATTTCAGTCCAATTATTGTGGCGACCTCACCATGACGGTCAACAAAACATTGTTTTGCCTGGATCGGGGGAGTCGCACGGTCACCATCCAGAACCTTAATAGCAACAACATCGCTTGTTTGACTATAGGTGAAGTCAAAGATGCTATTGTGCAACTCATTCAGGGCGAATCGACCTTGGCGATCGAGGGTTTCAAGCGTAGATATCAAGACCTGCATTGATTCGTAAGTATTATAAGTTTGTGTATTTGTATTAGGTTTATTCTACAAATACAATGTTACTATAAGCTTCAACCTCTCACACTCAGTGCAAGTCAGATGCTTAACGGGTTTCCTTTCATGTGTGAATGAATGCTGTGCGACTATATCAAATTGCAGTTAGGAATGTGGAGGGCTTCAGTGTATGTAAACAAAACTGTTTAGACGGGGAGTTAAGCGATACAATTCATTTGCTATTACTGGCATAATATTACCTCTTATTACTGCCTGGCGCTCGGCATTAATGGATACAACAAGGACTGGTCGGCTCAGAGTCAGTTCATGCTTCACTGCGGCATGGTATCTCAGTGAGCTAGCACTAAAAAACCAGCTTAAGTCTGGGCTAGTAGCAGCCGCACATACACATACACACGTATGCACGTCGTCATATGAGTGAAATTTCTCAAGCACGACGTAAAACCCAATTTCACCTCACCTCTTATTAACTATGATGTGTGGACAAACCATGTCAAGTTTACATTTGACAGGGAGTAATCTAAACTGTTGCAATGTTTGTTTTCTTTTTTTCAAGAAAACCCCCAACCTAACGTAAAAATGCAACTAAGACCATCTGTACATTGAACTTTTTATTCCACTAGTGAACGATATCATGCTAAAATCTCTTGCAAACGAGTTTATCTACACGGATATGTCCACACTTTTTCCCTCCATTCAGTTTGAATGTCTTAATAACCCGACCATGTTGTCCCTGTTTTTTTTGTGAATGTCTTCACTGCATTACACCAATGCACATTTCAGTAGTGGATGATATCATACTAAAAATCGCACATGCGGCTGTTTTTAACACAATTTGAAGCGCC